TTCAACTCCCAGAATTCCCCAGCCAGCCTGGCTGGGGAATTCTGGGAGTTGAAGTCCACCCGGCTTAAAGTTGCTCAGGTTGAGTAAAATTGCCTTAGAAGAAACAGAACACCCAACATGTCCAATGCTATTAGGTTGGAGAAATCAGGTTTAAAACAAAGTTTTTCCAATATCCTTAAGATCCAAAAGGTCGATCTTTTTAAGAAACTGCTGTTGCGTAGTTTGTTCTGAGCACCGGCTTTTTGAGTTTCGGTTCATCTTGGATTTGCTTGTTTTTTTTGATCCATCATAAACCTTTGGTTTATTTAAATTAAATTGAACAAAGGCTGCTGCTTCCCTCCTCTTAGCCATCTGGAACAGTGACCAGAATGCCTTTTGTTGTGCTAAGCGTCATAACAAAAGAAGCATTTATGCCTGAGCGGTGTTCTTTTTGACCGGCAGAGTAATTCCATGAGCCGTAGTAGCGGAGGAAGCAAGGATCCATCCCACAAAACACTGCCATTCCCAAGCAAGAACTTAGCAGGAAATCTCACAAGATCTGCACTAAATTTGGGGGGGGGGGATGTATCTATATCTGTTTGTAGAGAGTAAGGAAAATAACCTTTAGGAGACACAGATTCTCCTTGTTTAGCGCCTGCCACTTACAGCGACAGTTCACAGTGATGACAGTGATGAAAAAACAATTTCGCGACCAGTTCTGGCATTGACGACCTTCGCAGGTCTGTAAAGCAGAGGAAGGCTGACATCAGATCATAAGCACCATCGCGGTTTCACTTAGCAACCGCTTTGCTTAATGACCGAGTTGCTGGCCCCAGTTGTGGTCGCTAAACGAGGACAGCCTGTTTGCAGGAAATGCTACCTAGGCCAAAGGGGCTGAAACATTTTTTAAGTGCAGAGCAATGAGATAGCATTTGGAGACGGCTGAGGCAGACACCTCCCTGATTCACCAGAGTATAAGAAGGCCAGTCAGACTGGCAAGATTCAGTTATGATAGCCAATCTCAATAAAAGAAGTTTTAGCCTTCTTGTGTTGTTGATTTCCTGTTGACAGTTTGGTAGAGTTGTCCGTGCATTTGCTGCACAGCATATGCTTGTTTAATGCGCAGCGAGGCCTCCGGTGCACACCCCCTCCCCAGACTTCTCAGCACCACTGGTGGCCAGCAACGCTGGGAGATGCAGTGCCAAGCATCTGCTGGGCCCCAAGTTGCACCTTCTTCTTTAACTGGTGCAGCATGTTTGATGTCATCCTGTCTTCTCCTTTTGGGCGCAGGAGGTGGTGTTGTGGCGCAAGGGGGACATTGTGAGGAAAAGCATGTCCCACCAAGCCGCCATTGCGTCTCAGCGCTTTGAAGGCACGTCTTCCCAGACAGAGAGCAGGACCCCCAGCCAGCCTTCAGAGAACAACGGGCGGCAGTGAGGGCCCTTGAAGCGGCCGTGGACGGGGAAGGAGAATCCAGAGCGCATCTTCCACCAGAAACTTGCGAACACAAAATTATCTGTCAGGTTGTGTGTGTGTGTGTGTGTGTGTGTGCGTTTCTTTGTCTTTTCTCTTGAGGACCAGCAGCTTACAGGGTGGGGAAGGGGGTTGGTACACATAGTGGGGATAGGACTGTTTCTCTCTACATTCACTATTTGTGGATAAGCTACAGGGGCAAATCAGATGGATTTTTTTGATGTTGTGTTGGAAGAGGACTGTGGGAAATCTTTTTTTTTTTTTTTTTAAGAGCATCCCATTTCCTCTCTCTCGGAAGCCACATGCTGCAGCATGTCTGTGCTGCCAGTGAGGTTCAACAAGGCATCTAGCAATCACATGTGAATATACCATGGGTCAGACATTCCCCAGACTTCTGATGGCTGAGACGCATGGACACCACAGGGTGCGTGTTTGTGTGTACAAAGCGGCACACATTCTTACATCGTCACCCAAATGACGCAAGTGACATAATTCCTGTCCTTTGCACGATGGGGTCATGTGCGTGACATCATCATGGCTTGTACCAGGTGCTGAGAAGTTGGTTTGTTTTTGTTTTGTTTTTCTGAAAGAGGGTAAGCACACTTTGTTCCTAAGGATTTTATTTCTTAGGGTTTTATCCCTTAAGATGGGTGAAGAGAAGAATGACCTGCCTTTGGAGTTTCTGTATGAGTCTCTGTTCCAAAGGCACCTCCTGAGTACTGAGCACCATGTCCGGCAGACCAGCATGTCAGAATAGGAGGAGTTGGAAATGGCTGAATCATACAGGGAGGCAACAGGGAGCCTCCTTGGAACAGCTTTCCTTGCCGTTGATCCTGACTCACACTTGGCAAGTTTCTGTCTTAAATCTTTCAGGTTCGTTAGCAGTATTGGGTGAAAAGAGCTCTGCATAGCAGCATGCCCTAGACCAGTGTTGTCCAAACTTGGCCACTTTAAGATGAATGGACAACACTGCCCTAGACGGTTCTTTGCAGAGTGGGAGCAAAGAAGGAAATCCAAACATTTTTGCTTAAATTGTGGTGACTGAGGTACGTGCTTCTTGCTTCTGTTAAAGTTGTCTTTTTAAGCCCTGCCAAATTCTCTTCTTTTCTCCTGACTCCCGAGAATTCTGTTGCTTCTCTCTCTCGGTGCATGTGCGCCTAAAGTGTGTGTATGTTGTGAGAAAATGGAAGAACCACCTACCCCCACCCCAGAGGAGTCTCTCTGCTACATCTCTGCCTGATAGGCTGTTCTGAATTTGTTTCCTGCTGGGACAGCGTGCCGCCACTTGGAATATCCAGTTGCTCTTATGCAGAAGACCTGCTTTTGGAGGAAGATAGCCCAAACAGTGGATCATGGACACAGTTGTCTTCTGTGAAAAACAGGCCACCAACCACCTAACTTAGCAAGGCTGCCGGACTGGTGATCGCTCCTTTGGGTACTTTACCACCACCCCCACCTGGCTGGCCCCAAGACATTTACTTTGCTTTCTGAGATCATTCAGGCTAGGAAGATCTAGGGTCAGTGGCCTGCAGAAGAGATCCTCCGCTGGTCAGCTAAGGTCATAAACTTTGGCCGAGTGAAAACACCGCTCGCCTAACAGAAGCATCCGAGCTTTAAACTTTAGCTGAAGATGTCCATGTACAGAGTGTCCTGAGTGTGTCTTAGCACAGTGCAGGCTAAATTTTCTTGTTTTTTCCTCTTCAAAATGAATTAAGGACAGATGTAGTTGGTCTTGATTGATTCTTATTCCCCCGTCCCATTTCGTGATAAAGATGCACTTTCTGCTCTAGAGGTGGATTGAAATCACTGATGATGGTTTGCAAATATTCTTGAAGCGTGTGAAATCAACATACATTCGCTCCCATTTCTGTCTCATTTAGCAGCATGGTAAATATTGTCTTGGTCCATCTTTGGACTTGAGCACTTTTAGGATCCCCCCCTTTTTTTTTTCCTGTTCTCTTAAATCGGGGTGGATTGTCTAGGGACTGTGTGAAGCTTCAGTTCCCTTTGTTTGCATCACCAGAGTTCAGCAGCAAAAAGCTGAAAATAGGTATGATTTTTCCACCAGTTTGGGGGAAGAAAATTGCTGGGTTAAGGCTGCTGACAAGCTGAATGCATCTCCGTTGTCTTTTGCTTAAAACAAAAAAGTTTGCCTCTGAAATGGTTGCCTGATTCTGCCATATAGGATGGGAATTAGAATTGTGAATGTCTCCTTCCTCTAGAAAGGAAGGGAGATTATTATATTCCTTGCTATACTACTATAAACTGAATAAATAACTGAAAGGTAAGTAGCCAATTGTTTTAAGGATTCTGGACCAATCTTATTCCTGGTCACTTTAGATTCCATGAGTTGTCTGCAAAAACATAGAAAGATACAACAGTCTCACTTTTCGTTGTACAATAAACCCAGGCTTCTAGGATGTAAAGTTTGTGGGTCATGCCCTGCTCAAATTTCAGAAGTAGCAGTTTGACAGAGGAAGATTTCCAGTGGTGCCCTTTCCCTCCTGGCCAGAAAAGAATCAGTTGTGCAGAAACATGAGAAATGCAGAGCTTCCAGGGCTCCGCCATTTACCTAGTGAGCAATTTGGGAAAATATCTCAAACTGTCCTAACTGGCCTGTTCTAAGTCGAGTATAGGACACTATTTTGAACTTGGAACACTTTCTGAATGATTGAAACAGCCCATTTTCATACTCAAAATGGCACTGGGGGAGAGAAGGTATTCATTGTCAAGAGGGTAGATCTCATAGATAGGCATTATTGTTGTAAGCCAGGTTGGTTTAAAGGTGGCTTCTTGAGGAAGAGAGATCATGCATAGACACAAACCATGTTGTTTAAACCACAGTGTCCAAGTGCATCTTCCACAATGAGCCGACATCAAGCCAACCACAATATGACTTTGCACTGTGTGAATCTGGCCAGGGTGCCTTGTAAATGGTAGTTATGGATTAGCGTTGTGTGTGAATTGAGCCATTATAGCCTAATTATATTAACCATGGCTAATAAATTATACTAACCATGGTTAAAAGATAAATCTTAATGAAAGTGAACCTTGGTTAACATAAACCATAACTTACTACAGTAGCACACATCAGAGGCCAAAAGGCCGTGTGGAATTCCCAAAACCTTGAGTGTCCAGAATGCTTTCAAAAGTCATCACTCACTTGGGATGGTTAATGTAAAGGAGAGGGAACATTATTAATTAGTTGGGGAACAATCTTACTAACTGTATTTAATTTAATTTTATTCTATTTAAATTAAATATGTATATATTTTTATTCTGGCCCCACCAGCGTCTTTGTTCTGGCCCCGCCTACTTCTTGCAGGATGGACCCGTGTCCAGCCCCTGCCAGAGATTGCACCCTTGCCTTGTTGTAATGTTTGAGTCCAACCAGGTAGTCACTCAGTTGGGGAGCCAGGAGGTCTTGTGCGCCGAGTCTGTGTATTTGAGAGAGAGAGACCATGACAAGCCTTCTCTGAGGATACTTCCCACCCTTCTAAGATTTCATCGAGAAGAAGGGTGAAGACGGAAGATTTTATGAATAGGACCACCACTTTCCCTAGCTTGAAGCAAAAGAGATCTTTATGGGAAATAGCTTCTCCTAAGCTTGTTTAATCTTGTTGAGTTTCTTCTTCAGCTGCAGCATCGTGGCCAAGCCAGAACGATGGCAAAAACTATCCCGTCATTTCTCTGAGAACTTTGACACTTGGTGACTATTCATCTGTTCTTTCCAGTTCAGAAGAAAATCAGAGTGTTTGTCAAAAGGATGCAGATACCTTAGCTGATAGTCCAGAATGCTTTCAGCTCACTTATTAGGACCCCAGAGACATCTACTTGCTTGGAAATGTGGTTTCTTTTTCTTTTCTTTTTTTTAATGTTTTCCAAAACAGCTAATGACAACTCTGAATTAGAAGGTTATAGTGCATGATGAATCCATAGTGGACTTTGAAAGAACCGTTCATACTATGTACTTGTATTCTATATGACAATGTGGTTCTGAAATATTGTTATTTTGAAGCTGCTGAGGGAATAAACTTACTCTTCTTTTACAGTACTTACCTTCTCCAGCGGTAGGAGAGAAAGCTGGAAAGCTTTTGAAAGTGAAATTCAACTACTAGGTTGGTCTTCTGAGCCAGTGAAATGGAGATGTTGATACATTCAATTATTCCACAGAAAAGCAAAGGAGGGAAAAAACAGGATGGGGGAGTGGGGGTAGAACCCAGTTTCTTGCGAAATGTGAAGTGTTCCTCTGAAGAACATCTTCCTTGTTGCTTCTAATCACAAAATTATTTCAAGGAGTGCTATTTTTGTGTATACGATCCAGGAAGCCATAGGAACAGATTAATGGTCTTTCCATCCCCCCCCCCCCCCCTGAAGCTAAGCTTGCAATGTCAAATGGTTAATTCCTAATTATGAAAAAGATTGTGTTGGCTGATGGAACAATTCAGTTGGCTGTGATGGAGAACATAGCCTTCTCCAACGTGACCTGCAGATGTGTTGGACCTCAACTCCCGGTAGCCTTAGCCAGCAGACCAGGTTGGAAATCTGGAAATCCAACACCTTTGCCAGGCAGCCAGTTGGGGAAAATTGCTATATCCTTCCCCTTTTGGCGATTCTTTTTCTTGAACTCTTCTTTCTACTAAGCCTTCTTAGCAGTATTTATTTCACATCAGCTCCACCATGGAAAAAGTCCTCTAGTTTTTCTCCAGCTTGGGACACCACAGAAAAAGGACGAGGAGGAATGACGTAGGGAGTTCATAATGATCAGGCTGCCTCTCCGG